ATCTTCGCTGGAATCTCACAAAACCCAGAACACCAGCTCTATCGCGGAGCTCACCTCATGTACAATTGGATGTGATGTAGTTGTGCTGAAACCCTTAAAATCTCTAGCAGAAATTTGCATGCTTTCTGTGACAAAACCGCAAAGCACCGAGAAGTTGGCTTATCGGCGACACAATTACAGACAGGACAGACAAAGTACATAAGTAACATTAAAATATTCGTAGACTTCTTCGAAAATTAAGTTATAAACTGGCCTACGTGCCATTTCTATTTTATTATTTTTCGGTCGACCGACAACAACAACAATTCTTTACACAGTGAGGTTAGATCAAGTCTTTAAACGGCGTTTAAAGCGATAAACGCTCAAAATCGGCCAGTTCGTTTCTTTAAACGCGTTTAAGCACAAACTAAGTTTAAGGTTCTGGTGAAATCCGTTTCGCGCGTCAAACTGAGTTTAAGACGTTAAACTGGTTTAAGATCGCTTGATGAAAATGGGCCTTAGGGTTTTCCACTTTATTACCAACATCGTAAAACAAAGAGCAGATGGTATTTTCATTCCTTTGCCTTTTCCGAAACTATGCGCGTTGTGTCTTTGAGTATGTGTGCGTGCAAAAAAGGCTCGGGATTCCTGTAAGACAACATAAAAATGACAAAACTAGCGCGGTGCAAACGTAAGCACTGCTACCAGCGTTGTTTCTAGTGAACACCGACGAATCTCTAATCTGTATGTTTCTCTAGCGTACTGGAAAGTAAACTGTTCAGAGTTTGCTATTGGATTTTCATATTGATTTGATTTGTTTGGACGCGGCATTACGCAACAAACCTTAAAATTTTCCGTATGCTTTCGAATGTTTTCATCTACGTTTACCTATAAGAATCCCAAATCGCATTAAACCCAGCGTTCAAAATTATTCTAACTTGCGGCAATGCATTTGGACACATTTATTTCCTGGCCAACCTTCTCCCATGGAGATTTTGCGATACTTCTAGTGTGGCGATTTTTTGCTTTTTTAATTGTAAAATCCGTTTGCAACCGCGCCTAAGGATGGGAATAACGACTATATTTTCGTAGCGCGCTATTTGCTAAGCGCTTAAACTCGATTATACTCATATCGCGTGCTATTTTTAAAGCTACATTTATCACATGATAAATTTCGTTTGAAGACTTGCAAGCGATGACAACGACAATTTTTATAGGCAAACATGGACAAAAATGACTGTTTTCCCTTAATCTATTGTTCATTTTAATGGTTTATATATTTGTTGTGTTTTTAATTTTACGGTGCCCCTATTTATACAGGGTGTCCCGTAAGTTTACGATCAAGAGGGCACTGAGCCATTCTTTGACTCGCAAGAAGACAAGCTAACCTCGGTTTAATGCAGAAAAAACGTCCCGCTCCTCTATTATTGACGATCAAAGTTCTTCTAGGAAATTAGGTTTTTTGAAATATCGGGAGAATGATTCAAGGGATTTTAATTTAACTCGCTGTAAATTGGTTCTTATCTAAAAAACAAGATTTCAAATTGTGGAAATTTACGGTGTTTTGGGCATTTGGAGAGATTTGATTTTTTGCAGACAAGATTCTAGTTTCATAATAAATGAATTCACATGCGTTTTTGGAAGCGTTTTGTAGCAACTTTAAGAGAGGTTTCATTTCGGGGCTCAAAACCCCGGGTGTTTATAGAACAGATTTTGACGTTCGGTGAAACTTTTAAAATGTGTTTATAAACGGATAAATAAATCTATATGGATTATTAGAGTACAATTAGATTTTTTTTCAGAACTTTTATACCACTGCGCCGTATTCCATTATGGCGGTGCCTGTTGATTCAGAACACACTAGTAATGCTGCTAGTCCTGATGATCCGTATGGAGCTTACCAACAGGGGCCCCAAAAATAGAGTACCAACCGTCAGTGCAGTTTTGCAGCGAGAATTTGCTAAGACTACTCTGTGAACTCAGGACTCTTCTTGTTTTGGCACTAAGTATAGGATATGTTGTAGTGCCATTACCGATAATATCAATCTTTTGATATGTGCAAGCGACGCTAGTTCAATAGTTGAAGAGTGAGCTTCGTTAATAGTTGACGGTTTTACTTCACAAAACATAATTTTTAAGTAAACTTGATTTATTGTTTGATTGTTAGCTAAATTCTAACAAATCCTGTACTTACTATTTAATTGGCTTGATCAATTTTATGGGGGTCCTGAGTTTAGGCTAAGTAGTGTTTTGTTTTAGTGGCGTTGCCCGGCGAGTTACTTGTGATTAGCGCAATTGATTCCTCCAACGGGCTTGTAAAGAGACTGTTTTAGTTAAAAATTGTAATTCGAGCTCTAAAGCTTGAATTTTTAGATTTCAATTCAAATTTGATTCAAACGGATTTTATTTCAACCAATCTTGCTTATATTAAGGCAGAGCACGTGTGCTATAGTTTTCATTGCTATTACGCGAGACTTACATAATTAAATTTGTACCAATATTTCGAAATCGTCTTGACTTATGAAGTCATTAGAGTTTCGAAATATTTAGATTTTCTCTCGGGTTGGATGTGGAAAACTAGCAACGAAAAGTTTTGTTTTGCGAAAGTCGGCGAGCACAATTCATGAATTTTAATAGCGTGAAATTCAGTCTGGTTGTTTTTGTCTTGTTTTTACTACTTGTCGTTTTAAATATATTGTTCTCATGTGTGCAGGCGATGTGTTGTTATCCGACCATGATATCTAGATGGATAATCTGTAAATCGGAAGTTTGTAATTACGTAGAACATTTGTATGGATTGAGTCACACACATACCTTTTCCATTGGACATATTTTATTATGTGACAATTACTAGTATTCTTTACTGTTCACTGAATTGACGAAAAAATGGAGAATCATTAAAATGGCCCGTTTACCACAAATATGTGCGACCTTTTGTTGATTACTTTAGACTTTTTTAATAATATTGTTACAACAAGAAATACGGACTGAAAATGTAAAGTAGATATTTTTGATACAGTATGTTCCTAGTTTCAAAAACATTGTATTGAAAATATGTCATATTAACTTGTATCTGTGTAAGGAAGCCAGGTTTAAACCCGCTTCAGTCCTTACTCTTTTGACCTTTCCTCTAAGGAAAGTTTGTATATATGTTACAGTGAAATTTCTTACACAGATATCGTCTACACCAACACAATTTAACAAGAAATAAGTTAGAACCGTAAGTGTATAAAAAAAGAAAGAGACAAAGGACGTGCATGAACGCGTTCACATTTCCGATCGGCTTCGCATTTAAATTATCAAATTCAGATCAGCTCTAGTCATTTAGTCGCGAAGCCCTAATGTGGGAAACTATTGTAAACAGTCGATGCGATGAAATAGATCTGGTGGTTTTTTAGCGGCCGACAATGCTAAACATTACATGCCATTGAACCCGATAATCGAACATATTTTCAATCATTTCAAACGAAAGCATGTTAGACAGTATAGTCAACACAAAACGATTTGTTGTCATCTTCGTGGCTTCCCCAAAGGCGACCAAATATAGGTAGGTAACCGACGTGATAATTTCGAGACTATAGGAATCTTTATTTATATGAAAACTACAAATTTGGTAAATTACTTGCGTGCTGTTGGTGTTCGGCTTCAGGCAATGAAAACATAAAAAACAAGCGTTTGGATCTTCCCAAGCTGCAAACAATGCGGCATAGGTTAGGTAAATTTAGTATTTTATTTTTTGACAAAGATCTACATAGGTAGTTGTAAACTTATACTGCAGAAAACGCGCGAACTGCTCACAAGTTAAATCAAATAAATTCTTCCTAATATTTAACACCTATAAAATAATATACTTCCGATGGATCGTCTTACATCCATATTTTGTTCAATTGTTTTTTGTTGTATTTCTGGCAAATATCACGTTTGAATCTTTGCAACTGTTAACGTGTACAGTTGATTATTTTAAATCCTAGGAATCGTAAAAAAGTATTGAACATTTTTGCACAATAAGCGGTTCACCTTAATTTTGATATTCGTCAGAAGATCAACCATTATTTGCCAAATGCAACTTTCCATAAATTTGATGGGCACGGCTAGAAATCGAACCAGATTAGTGGACAATACACGAAAGGAATATTCTAACACGGAATGCAACAGTGTTAATTGAAATTAGAAATCTGGATAAACGTTTGTTGAGTGCTGAATATTTCAAAAGGTTACAAGACACTGAACTAAAGCAAATTTCGAAAGCTTAAACACAAACAAATTACATGACATATGGTTAGAATCAATATATTTTGCCAGAAATACAATTTTTTCTGCTGAAATTCATCTAGATCTATTATTTATTATTTTTTTTTACAAAGTTCCATGTTAGTTTTATTCGGAGACACGCTGTATCAAATGGAGCATTTTAAAATATGTTGCAATTAATTTCTATCAACATATAATAACCGTTTTTGAAAATGGACTGAAAAAATATTTATTAAAACTAGCAAGTATTCGTCTCTTAATCGGTAAGCTGGCAGCAATGATGCTGTGATTTTCTTAAACGTATTTAGTAATGTATAGTAGCTACATTAGAGCTCATTTTGGAAATGCTTTCAGTTTATTGGATTATTGGCGAATTATACGATTAACTAGCCAATGAAGTAGTTTTTGGCGGCTCGAATCCCTTCAAATGAATCAGTTTTGCTATCACACCAAACACAATCACTATCCATTTTTTTATTCTATTTCTCATTAACAATTTACATCTTTGTTACTTTTCAAAAATGCTTTAGCCAAGATGATTTATGTCATCGCACAGTCCCTGATTATTTGACTCGGGAAAAAACTGAAGCATTTAAAGGGTGAGCTAAATGAATGAGGCAAACGGAGAATGCTTCAGATTACTTTAAAATCGTGCCTTTCAGAGAGTCCATTGACAGGGATAAACTGAAAAATGAAAAATATTTTAATATATTTTTTTAAACTCGGTGTTTTTCCACTGAAACCGATTACAGAATTTTTAAATTTATAGGTGTGATAGAAATTTGTATGTTTTTTTCAGTTCGTAATTTGGTCTGAAATGCGTAAAACTTATCGCTTGTCAACTTTTCCTATGGAAAACTCAAAGCGCTATATTTTGTCAAATTTCAACCTAGTTGGAGGTCAGGGTCACGAAGGCACAATGTAACCATCTGCTTTTGCAGAGCAGTGTCTTAAAATGCACCCTCCGTTGAAAATTGTTAGCAGACATAGATAAGTATATTAGGCAGTTTGGGATTTTAATACAAACCCTATGGTTTTTTTACTTCTTAATTTGTTCCTCAGTCGTATGATTTCTGAACAAACATACGGATATAAAGCGGACAGTTTGATTATTAAATACCCCAAATTGTTCCGATTGCTCTCTTGAACGAGATTGGAAACTCAATTAGTGTTATTCCGCTCGCCCATGGTAGCCCACAAAACTTACCTTTTTGTTTTTATTTCAAATATTTATCTAGGTGAATATGCAGACGTTTTTTTACTAGTTTTTCTTTTAGTCAATTGTTTGTTTATCATCTTTATTTAGTTGGAAAATATTGGACAAATACGTTTTTAGGAAGAGCGAAATACATTAATTGAGTTAATTGCTGACAAAAAGTATTGAACATTTCGGAAATTTTGCGGAAAAAGCGATTCACCTTCGTTCTATATTCGTCAGAATTGATGACATTAGAAATATTACAACAACTGAACGACTACCTATTCATTGAATGATCACTGTAATATGCGTAAGCATTTGATAAGCTTAGGTTAGCTTATAGAATTAGAATAGTACTTAGAATCTAAATTAGTTTTTCTAGGATAAGAAGAAATAGCGATAGGGTAGGCTTAAGGAAAAAAAAATACTGGCTGAAGTATGGGTGTTCCAAGTTACTGTTTATACATATAGATATATTTAATGACTGGATTGTAGTCATACCTTTGTGATAAAATCCATATTGATTTATTGCATATATGACTAGAGCTTCAGGCTGTTTGGTGCGACCTCATACTTTGGCCGACACTTAGGATAGCTAAGATGAAATAGAATTAAGTAAAGTGTTTTTGTTATAAGTTTAAATATGTTTGTTTTTATTTTGTAAGTTTTTGTGTTGGTGAATAAAAACTGTATTTGTCCAAAACGTACAACGTATTTAACAGCGCAAACCTCAATCTCACTCGATATTCCCCGAATATCATTCACGTGACTGGAATGTCTACGCATCTAAAATCTGTTTCTTTACACGCAACATTTTTGTGATTTTTTCGTTTGTCATGCTTGTTGCATAGATATTTTTACGAATATTTCTCGACGCACTAGCTGCTGGCTGGTATTATTCTGCGTGGGTACATCGCGACAACAAATCACAGAACATTAAAACAAAGTTTAATTAACTTTTCCTGCGCTTACCGAATAAAGTCATCATTAAAACACATCAGCTTTGATTCTGTTGTAATTTAGGCTGCTCCAAGAATGCCTGCCTTTCTGCCTTTAGTTGTCTTTTAACCGCCTTATGTTCCAATTGTTCATAGTGATCAGCAAACATAATTTTCAAGGCAGGATAAAGCAGCGGAACTAAAGGTAGTTCATCGAGCTTCACCTACAAGATCAAATGTTTAAAATTTGATTGTAAAGGTTGGATGCCACTATATTAAAACGAAGTGAGAAAAAAACTGACCTGCATATTGTCAAAAGCTATGCTGACATTATCTGCGAAATTGTCGTTAAATCTGGGCAATTTCGCATATCTTTGACTAAAATGCGTCAATATAACATGCTTAGCCTTCATGTCTTTGCCCACTTGGATCGCCTGGGAAGTCGTCGAATGCATCTTCACAACCGCTTCTTTGGCCAATTCGTCTTCCATCGTGGCTTCGTGTATTAAAACATCCGAATTTTTACCTGGACAAGATTATATCATTTAAATTCGTCTAAATAATTATAGACAATTAAATACTCACCCAATTCAACTAGCTTCTCAGACGGCATCGTATCTCCAGAATATGTAATTTTATACCCGGATTCATGTGTAATCGACACTCCAAAAGCATTTGGACAGTGCCTGACTAAACACGTACTAATATCGCTCATATCCAAATTGCTTAAAATCTTAATTCTCTTCTCATCGGCAAAAGTGGTTTCGTTTAAAATCTGAACAGATAAATAAAAAATTAGAAACATGGTTATTTTAGGCTGCAATTGACCATCTTACCAATTCTCCATTGGGCACTAAAACATATTCATCCTTGATATTCTCGAAAAACCGATCATAGAACGCCAACCAAGCTAAAATTTGCCTGGGGGCAAATAAGATTAAGGGTGCTTTCTCAATTCGCAACAGATCCAACGCTTTCCGTCTACCCTGTAAACAACAGCATTTATCTAAACAACTTTAAAACCGATTACCCAAATCCCAATACTTGTAGCACTCCTATTAGCCCTATATGGTGGTCAGCATGCAGATGGGAAATGTAAATGGCATCAATCTCGGTCAAAACTTTGTTAGCTTTTTCTTGTCCGAAAAATCGAGTGATTTGACCACAGGTTCCTTCTCCGCAGTCTAATAAAATGTTTTTCGTATCGCTGAAAACAACTATGTATAACGAGCCATTAACGCACAAATACCAAGCAAAGGTACCTAATTTGCAAAAGAATTCCACTAGTGTTTCTCGTTTTATTAGGAATACAGGAGCCCGTTCCTAGAAAAAAGGTTTACTCTGGCAAAATCACGAACAAAAGTTTGCACTTACCTAAAAATAACACTTGAGGATAATCTCTAATCGTGTAATTGCTCTTTTCAATCTGAAGCTTTTGGTGTAGTTCTTTAAGAGCGTCGGAAAATTGCGGGAGAGACATGGTTTCGTCTATAAACTCTTGCGTGTCCAAATTGATATGCGAAGTGCTATCAAATCCTTTTTTCGGTCTTAAATAGTAGCTACTTAAACTTCCGATACTTCTGTTTTCATTGACAGTTTTACAATTGTTTGCAGGCGCAATATCAAGGTTTAGATTCGCGAAATTTATGTCCTCCGACTTCTGCTTTTTATTCTGATGATTGCCAAACTAGAACACACATAATATTATTAGGCAAAAACACGACATGACCACCTACCGTCTCGCATAAAGATGGAGTGCCCCGATCACCTAACAGCGGGAAAAAATCTGGCGAAAGCAGATTTAACTTATACTGGATTCTATGAACCGCTGTACTTCCCATACAGGAATTGGAGTCATTAACTTGAATGTGTTGCGTGCTAGGCGTGAAATCCTCCATCCAGCGTTTATACCTGAGAAAAAGCAAGGGTTTAGAATGGCGTTCGTTTTGTCACAGACCATACTTTACAGTGGAAGTTCCATGACGTCTTTAGGCGTGAAATGGACAACTAAGCAAGCCGCATCGTCGTCGAATTGAGCAAACTTTTGGTGTTTCTTCATTCGAGGATTGGAAGCTAAAGATTCTAAATAGTCAGCCGACGGACAGTCCACAACTAGAACAAAAACCTTCGTCGTGAAAATAGTTTGATGATGATGATGATGTCTTGTGATTGTGATTTATTTCGATATTAAGCCTTACCTAAAAATATAGGTCCTGGATCATCAGGTTCACAAACATCAACAGATTTAACAACAGTCCCATTACCCAAAGTAACATCCTCTCCATTTTTCAGAAGGCCCAAAAGTGGTCCTGGAGGGACTCCATTTTTGACACACTTGTCCAAATTGAGTGCTCCAGGACGTGGCTGCAAACGACAAATGTAGCACATTGAAATCGCCTCTGATTTGAATCCCTTCAGTAACATTTGGGTGGCTGATGATATGCTTTTTGCGCTTGGTGCGGGTCTTCTTCCGCTCTCTAAAATATACATATATAATATAGCGTCGCTACCAACACGTATAAGTGTATATTTTGAGAAATACAAACAGATAGCGTAGCCTTTAGCATATTGGAAAGGATGGGGATATGCGGTAATAAATAGGTATGTAAATACCAGGACTTCTTGACTTGGAACGGGATCTACTTCTATGTCGCTTAGTTTTCTTACGTTCATGAGCATAGTAATCTGTATCATCTTCTACGAGACTTTCTCCATTTCTTGAGCTAATTGAAGATGATCTCTTTTTTTCGCTTCTTGTGGAAGTACCCGCCTCACTCTAAAACAATTCAATCAGATGACCACAAACTATCAGCACCAATCGGACATTCTGCAAACCTGCTCTACACTTGCTTGAACATCTTTTTCCAACCCACTTTGTGAAACACTTTTGTGCAAATGTACATACTCAACCCTCAAGGCGTTATCCTCAAAAGTCGTCGTTTCTGAACAATCTGCCATATTAATTTTCAAATCCCTAATAACCACAAATCGCCTAGTAGCAGGGAATATTTCATTCTGCAAAGCGGAGTGTTAAACTAGCCGGGATTAAGGTTGGAAGAAAACTTACAAGTCCCTCAGGCCCATGAAGAGTGATTTGGGGCACACCAACATCTTGAATTGTCAAAGCGGTGCCAGGCAATCCGCCTATATTTTTCCATTTGGGCTGAGTAATGAAAATGTGCTCCAACTTGGCTAGCTTCGTTTTGTGCTCATGGGCTAACCTTTGAGTACCTTCACCGCAGTTAAATAGATACCTGAAAATAATGTTATTAACTAACTTTTCACCCGCTGTTCAATTAATTGATTAGTTTATTTGTAATGTCGGCGTTTTCAAGGGGCGTTGAAAAATGGGTGAATTTTGGCCAAAAATTAAAAAATTGTTAGTGGCTGGCTTGTTCACTTCAGACGAAAGGTGAACGAAAAGAATCATAAACAAAGTCAAAAATGAAATCGACCAAAACAGTAAGGGTTTGCCTGACGAATTTTCAACTAAAAATCCTGATTTTTCTGCAGTTTTAAGACTTTATTCGCTCCCAACCAGTAACTAAATGTTCAACGCTCAAAGCAATAAACTGATTTTGCCTAAGATTTCTTAGGTTTGTAGTTTTCAAGGCAGAAGATGCCAGTAGTAAACCGGGTATTTTAACAGGCTTTGCAGTTCTTTTATTGACTTACCGACTCTGGTCTGAAAATAAGTAAACAGACCCAGGAGCTCCATTAGCGCCTGTGCCCAAAATTTGAAGCGTAACTCTGCCCGGAGTGTACTTAGCACTCTTTTGTTTGATTTTAAGTCTTTGCTTTTGAGCAACAGCAATATGGGTAGGTTCTTTGGGCATTTTAGTTAGTAACAAATTGAGGTTAGAATTGTCGAAGGTGCGATACTTTGAGTAGGATCTTGTAGTTAATAACACAACAAATCTAAAAACGGAGGGTTTTAGGAAAATGTTCATTTAGAATGTTTCGGTTGCTTTAGTACTTCGAAATTATATGTTTAGATTACTTGAAAAATGTGAATTTGAAAATGAATTTGACAAGCCCTTTGAATGGTAACATGCTTGAAGATAGCTCGTTAAAGGCCGGGTTAGGGCCAAGTTTCATTTTCTCTGCTCCCACTGGCAACGCTGTTAAACTATACCAAATAATTTATTTTTGCATATTTCTTCAAGTGTATAGAAAAGCAAGCCAAATAATTAACCCTGCGAATGCCAATCAACCAATTTATTTTTGACTTATTATACGAAACTAATACTAAATGTGCACTTGTATAAATTTTAGTTGAGGCTCTATCTCTAGCAGTACTCTTGGCCTCTTGCTCTTGCACACACATTAAAATAATGAAGACGCAAGTAACAACTAACCTAATTTTTGGGGATATTTTGTCAATATGTCACATTTGTTTACGTTGGTGCAGCTAAACAGTTTATTACGATTAAAAACGGGTTAAAATTAAATCATAACGAAGACGATGTGGTCCCAATACGACGAAGATTTATCCCAAAATCAGTTTTTTAAAGAAATCAAGCAGAATCATCAAGATATTATAAAACGAGCGACTGAAGATCATTGGATTATCTGTGTTCCTCGAGCTGGAACCCTTACAAGTGCAGACATATCAGTGAATGTTGTCTTGGATCATATCTTGATACCTGGTGCTGATCAATCATACACCTACACTACGCTGAGTAAGAAAGAGGTCCTTCTAGTCAACCACCACTTGACGTTGGATCAAAATACCATCTTTCACAGAGACATCGAAATCCTTTTTGAAGAGACACACTATTTAAAGCAAAAATCTAAGTACTTAGTGTGGTGTGTTAATGTGCCTCTTTTTACTCATCACAATCAAAATCGGTGTCCAAATAACAACGTGGTGTTAGTGACAATTCAGGACTGTATAGACTTTTTGTATTCAGAAACTTTTGGCCACAATTTATTAGAAGGTATTCACAGCCTCTGTGTGGACTTTTGGAAAACCCATCAGAGTGCATTTTACACTGAATCATTGCAGAGCCAAAAAGATTATTTAGGAAACTTGTATTCCCAAAGTTTACAGTTGTGCTTCAAGAATGATATTATTAGAGATAAATGTGATAAAAATTTGCTGCATTTGGATAATTTTAAGCTATCAATCGAGACATATATGCAATATTGTCTTGGCAGAAAGCTGATGTACAGTATAAATACATTGCAACATTTAAGTGATTGTTGCGTCAACAAAATAGTGAGAAATTCGTCTGATATATCTTTAAAAGATCTTGGTATTCCTAGTCATTTTCTTAACTACGTTTTCGATGCCAAATCTGAATTATCCAGGCTTAACAATGTTGTAACTGGTCTGGACAAATTATATTGTTTGTCCAGAGTTTTCAATATTTTCAGCAACAAGTTGGTAAAAACTGACGAAAGACTATATCTCACATCAGACGACTTTCTACAAATACTGGTTTACTTAGTTTTAAACTCGAATATCTCAAACTGGATGGCAAATTTAACATATCTAAAGGAATTTCAGTTTGCACTATCTACTAATCATGACCAGCAAAACTTTTTAGTTTCCAGTTTAGAGGCAGCGTTGGCCTTTATTAAAAGCAATCAGTTTTTGGATATTTCTAAATCAGTGGGTCGTTCAAATAACAATCAACTTACAGTTTTTGATAAAATTTACCATCGGTTCAAAGACAAGAGAGACGTTAAGGATATAGAAAGTTTTTTGGAAAAGGAAATAGCCGCTGTAGAGTTATGCCATCCGTTGTGTTCGTGTATCAAATGTGAGCAAACTGACAAAAAACCCACGGAAAAAAATATTTACAAAATGTTTAATAAATCAAATCAGAACTTTTTGATTGTGGCTTGTAGAGAAAATAATCCAGAATTCCTAGAATATATACTTTCATTGGGATTCGATATTAATTTTCAAGATGACTGCGGGAGATCAGCACTGCACTATGCCGCAGAAAAGGGGTTTCAAGAGGTTTTGTTGCTATTAATTAGCGCGGAAATAAATGTAAATTTGTTAGATAATGATCGAAATACTGCTCTGCATTTAGCATGTGATAGGGGACACGATAGTTGCGTAAAAGCTTTATTATATTCTTCGCGGTTGGTTGAGATCAATTTACAAAATCTATCCGGGGAAACTCCAATGTTTTTGGCTACAAGATGGGGTTATTTAGATATTATTAAAATTCTGTTAGAGAGTGGGGCTTCCGTTTGTTTAAAGAATAACAGCAATGTGAGCGTATATAAATTATCACCCAATTATTACATTACGCAGCATTTCACTGAATTTGGAAGCTTCCAAAGTAAGAAAATTCAAAAAGAGTTATTGCACATTAAACCCGAAGATTCGTTGGCTGATTTGGACAATGTTTCCGATAGCAATGCTAATCAACTTATTCTGACCGAACAAGGTTTATTCTTTGGAAATGAAGCGAAAACTAGCTTAGAAATGAAAAAGCTTGAATTGCTGATGAAAGTAATTGAAAGCAACGATGTGCCACTAACATGTTACTACTTGGGGTATAGCGGAAATGCCAAAGATGCGAACAGTAATGAGCAAGTAAAGTGCCATCCATTGTGCAGTTGTACAAAATGTTTGAAAAATGCTGGAGACGAATTTCCCGATGGTCCTTCAAATGAAAATTCCAATCTAGAAATTAGAAAGTTTAATATAAATATGCGCAACAAGGACGGCTACACTCTCCTGCATGTTGCAGCCAAATTTGGAAGAACCGAAATAGTGAGAATTCTGCTGGATGATGGAGCCCTGCTTAATGTCCGCACTTTGGATACTCTTTTCACACCCTTGCACTTGGCTGTGAAGTTTCAAAAACTGCAGACTGTTAAAGAGCTACTGCAATGTGGGGGCTGCAACGTAGAGGCTCAGGATCACAGAGGCAACACCCCCTTGTACTATGCATGCAAGACGAATAACATAAAAATTGTCGAACTTTTGCTGCAAAATGGGGCAGACTGTCATAAGAAAAATTACGAGGAACAAACTGTACTGCAACTGTGCGAAGACAAGAATCTGTTCAGGATACGCAAGATGTTCAGAGAGAATATAGGAGGAGTTTTATCGAGTGACTGTTATGATTCTAGTCATTCTAGTTTGCTTTAGTTGAGGGTATCTTGTTAATTCATGCGAACAAGGCGGTTGATTGAGTTTTCAATCGGTGAAAGAAGTGTTGAGTAGGTAATTTTATTCGCGGATATTCTCAGGTCTCGGAAAATATATATTTTTACAGTTCATGACCGTAATTGAATTAGGAGTTTGCGGGCAAAACATTATTGCTTTCCCTGCACATCATGTAATAATATCACGTTGGCGACTGGACTTTATGTTGGATTTTTTCACAATTGGGAGGATTTTTTAAACCGCACTAAAATTACCTTCTAAACATTTAATTATTTTGCTATAAAATACCCCGATTCATTTATAATTGCGTTCCAAAATATGATCTTTTGGGTCTAGTTGTTTTGCGTTTATTGTTTTTATGTATTGGTTCAAAGTTCATAAATTTCGTTCCTACCACTTTTCTTCTTTGGAAAATGCGAAAATTCTTGAAGCTCCAAAAGTTCTCTTATGTCAACATTATTCGCTATAGTTGGTTGGCCAATTGCAAAATGGGAGAAGTTTGACAGCAAACGTTAGCAATTGGAAACATGTAAAAATCGCGTTTTTTGCGTTAAAAATTCACTAGCGATCGCGAAAATACCACGAAACGGTGAACAAATATTTTGGTGGCAGAAATCAACCACTGTATGACCAAAAAATTTACAAAATCCGGGTTTTTTTGAGTTTTTGACGGAACAAAGCGATCGCGGCCCGTCTCAAACGCCATTAAACAAAAGACTGTCTTATTGGAGGGAATGGTGCAAGAATTGACGTACAGTTGATAGATTTTAGATCTTTTTTTGTTTAAATCGTTTTAAAATTGAGTAAAATTGGAATTATCAGAAAAGTCGTAAATGTAATAATTTTTTATTATTAAATTACTTCTAATGACCTGCAGAAAGGTGATTTACATTATGATGAATTTCGTGTCATGTGTAAGTAAAAAAACAATCCTTAAAGTCCTTAAAGACTTCCATTGACTAAGTTTCTGATAGTTTGATAATTAAAACTTCAATCATTTTGTATATAAGGTGTGAAAAGTTGTTTTGTGAATTTTTTTAATCTACTTCAACACATAATTTGTTTCTTATATTCTCGAATAAGTGAGTATTGATATTATCCTTTAGCTTTTTTATACGAGGATACAAGCAAGAATCGAAAGTTTATCGATTATATTAGTTGTCGATTCAAGATGTTAATTTTCTACTTGTGTTTATCTGTTTTGTAAATTTATACAAACGCATTTCTTTCCATATTGGTCATAAGAGCTGTATGTTCCTTGTTTTTCTGCATTTTTGTTAATTAATATTTGTTACTGTTTTGCTATTGCTTGTAACGAACACATTAGTTTTAGTACATTTGAACTAATCAAGTGAAATTGAATATTTGAATTTTGCCCGACTGCCGAATGTGGAATATTGTTACAATTTTTTGAAGTACAGTTTTGATTTACTTTCAGTAAAGCAAGCAGCGCGCACTTTGTGAAAGTGTATGTAAAATTAGGGCAGAAGGTAAAATATATTTGTTGGAAAAAAGTGATTTTAATAAAAAAAATCTGAGAATACTGTTGTCTTACATTGAACCTTAAACCAGTGCGATCATTTTGCCATCTACACTTTGCAAAATGTATGTTTATTATTAAACACGCTTATAATTCGAATAGAACACGTATTTCATTGTTTACATTTTATATCATTCATACTTAAATTTATTACATTAATTTAACATGCGCTGGAACTTTTCAAGTATTTTTCTATGAAATTTAGGGTCCATTTTTGAGCAGAGGGCCTTTTGGCGTCGGCGTCGGCACCATGACGACGGCGTCTTTGTGGACGCTGTGCGTCCGACTTTGCTCCGCATATATTTTTCAGTTGGCGCGTAATCTTCGAAAGGGAAGTACGGGAGCGAAAAATTCGATTTCTATGCCGAAACCCCCGATTTACGCGAAAAATGTGCCCGCCTTTTGAAGCTTTTCCGATTTTACATTTTTAGTTCTCGACTAAAGTTTGTTTTTGTCACCGCCGAGCTTTTGTCAGTGTTTTCGGTATAAACTGACAATTTTTTGCATTTGAATTCGCCTCCGTGTGTATTACTCGTTGCCTAAACGTAGGAACTAGCCAAGTTTTGTGCTTGACAATTGACATCACTAATTGCCAGTTTCAACATTTCAAGTTGTTTGAAGCTTGGTATTGTTGGTTATATTGCTAATAAATAATAGAAAACAGTCAGCGATTGTGCACATTTTTGGTTTACCAAGAGCTTGTCGACTTGGGGATCCCAAATATTTCACAAAATCTGCCCTGAAGGTTAGTAACAAATTTTTAAGGTTAGGATAGCTATCAGTTGCTTCTTTAGGAAAAGTAGCTTGCAGCAGGCCTGCAAACTTTGAGGCCCAAGCGTTAGTTGCTTTAACTTCAAGTGATTTTACGCAGTTCAAGTAAGGCAAAGCCGTGGATGGTCCGTAAATTCTCTAAAAAAACACACTTGAAATTCGCTTTCCTAAAACCATGCGTTTATACAGGGAATTAAACTAACTGAAGCTGTTTGCTGCTAATTCGTGTTTTAAGTAACAATTTATTGTGTTCACCTTATAGAAAACTCCTTTCCTTACCACTTTTCTTAGTGGTGTTTTTAGCGGAAATGCGGTTTTCAACCACTTTTCACTAGTTGAAGCGCACTCCTTTTCCATACGATAGCAAACGTCGCATAGTTTGCACCCAGGCTGGGAATTTTGTCAAGGATAACAGTGGAAAAGTGCCAAAAAACACATTTGCACAGAAACATCACTTAGAAAATGTGTTCGTAAAGGCAAAATCTACAACGGGAGCCACTTGAGCCTCGCGATGCCGGTGAACAGCTAAATTAGGAAACCACCAATTGTTTACCATAACGCTAAAAAAATTATGTAAAATATAAATATGAATTCTACCCATTTATCCTAAATATGGCGAATTTGGTCAAACGTTATAGGGGTAAACAGATCTTTTATTGACATGAAACTTGCAGTTTTCGGCGTGATAAAACTTGGCGAATGCAATCATCGTAACGCAATTACAGACTTTCCACAGTCTTTTGGTTAGAGATCCAGACTATGCAAGTCGCTTGGCCTTGCTTTGCTTATCACCACCAACAAAGGCTGAATAGCTATTCATATGCGTATGTTTTACTGATAAACTTTGAGCCGTAAGCATTAACACTCTGGCTAAATCTCCATCAAATTGAATGATGGCCACCTTTATTCCATTTCCAATCAAGCTTCCCTATATGAGAAAGACAATAAAAGCTTCAGTCCCAGGCATTAATTTCGCTTTCCTTCGCTCCGGGTTTCCATCAATTCGCCAGCTGAGAAATAAACCGAAGTTGACAACACATTGTACCATCCTTTGAGAATCTGCTGCTCGCCTATTTCCGATCTACAGTAAATCGGCTCGACCTTTTTTTTGCCTCTTACATCCCCCCAGTCTTTTCGGGATTCTGTTTTAAGGATTCCCCGTTCGGGCAGTCCCTCGGGATCCGCCATACGCCGCAAAGGATCTCGTTTCTTTATCTTTTTATTTTGTTTGTCAGTCGGAGAGATCTTTGCGAAATTTAGGGACAGGATGGAACGACAGTTATACTGTATTCCCGTGCCTGAGCCAGGCGGGATACGAATTTTATTAAATTATCCCATCAGGGGATTTGCTTGGGTTTGATTGGTACTGTTGTAAAAATGCACAAAGTTGGATTGGAGGTTTGTTGGTGCGGGTATGCTCCCTTCCACAATTTTGGGTAGAGGTCTTTTACTGCTCTTGAGCGTATTTACGAACCAATTTTTTTAAATCTAGATAAGTGAGCAGAACTTTTGCCAACAAAGGTGTGCCTTCAGCAGTCGCATCCCTCGTCTTCCTAACTTTCTTCTGCCCTCGATTGTTCACCAAGTCAGTTGCTGCTGCTCTCACTTTCTGCGTTAACTAAGCGTTCAATTTCGCAGCCGAATCAATTTTTCTCATGGAGAAGATGGAACCTATTTACAGTCTCCGCAATAAACTGCACACCCATTGACATGGTTATACATTTTAGGTTTGAAGAGTACAATTTAAAAACTAACCACAAATGTGCGGTAAAGCTTCCGTTTGTCTAGAAATGTCTGTGAGGATGCAAAGCTGCAAGTGAAATGTGGACTTTCAAGTGCTAATATCTTGGAGATTTACGCTTCAACACTGCATTTTTTGTTATTTTTAATCACCCTGTCGAGTCCTTGTAATAGAAAGCGGATTACTGCACAAAAATGTGTTTAATGAGCCTCATTTGCTCTTTGCATTACGTTTTGATAAAAGTCAGCTTGGGTTAGTGTGAGTTTTTGAATTCTTGTGAAACTGGGCACCAAAAATTGCCCCCCAAAAAATTGCGGCTACTAAGCTTTGCATTTAAGGCTTGAACAAGCTGTTCCTCATGGCCATTCTCCTATTTCCGATTCCACAAACCCTGTACATAATTTTATCTTTAATCATGACCTCAATTGGGCTTCATTATTGATCCTGAAGTCGACAATCAGCACATTTATTCTGCCAATTCTCTAATTGTCAACTCGAACGGAATTTGGATAGTTACTAATTCAAATTCAGCTCCAGCCGTTTGTCACTGTTCCTTTACATCAGAGCTTTGGCTGATTGGGTCTTTTGAGCGTTAAAGCGATATGTCTGCTCTCTGCTCCAATCGGGATAATATTGACCGCTACAATCAACGGACTGCTGATTTTGGAAGGTTTCCAATAAATTAAATACTTTTTTACCGAACTTACGCCATCAAACCGTGGATGATTACGAAGACGGATTTTGCTACTGCCTTCAGCTCCTGAGTGTCTGCTTTTTTTCTTTCTTTCTGTTCTTGATCGCCTTAGGAAAGTATAATTAGCGTCGCTGAGCGCTGTGACCGCAGCTAGACGCGTCATGTAGACGGTGAATTACGATTCGTGAAGCTGGAGGTGGCTTTCCCGAAGCCCGCAGGGGACTTTTGGTCGTTGGAAATCCCGCTTGACAACACGCAGAAATACATAATTTCGCCCAAGAATCTGCTGGCTGGCTGGTCAAAATGGATTTAATTTTAATAGTTTCCCAAAATGATTTGCAAAGTTAGAGGGCCATTTCACCTTTTTCTCTGGGATTTACCCAAAACATTTCAACGTATTAGTCGTTTCGTTGGCCTGTCCGGTTCTCTACATTTAAATTTGTCGCTTTTTTGTCTGGCAATATGAGCGTCCCTTTTCGCAGTGGGAAATCCGGATCGGAAAACCGCACGGACTCGGTTTTGTTTGTTTTCTTTCGGGGATCGCAGTTCGAAACTGAATGGAACGGTGGAAACTCATTAGTCACTAGGAAACACTTCGAATTTGTCATTATGAAATGCTGAATACATCTGGATAAGTTTCCCCCGGCTCATGTTTTTAAGTCGAATTTATTTGCTCTCATCTTGGTCAGGGATTTCAAAAATGCGCAAGGGAAAATATGTGGGACATGCATGGATATTAAAAAAAGTTAATAGCGGGTTCGTCAACGAAACATTCCTGGAATGCGGCGAAAATGCTCTGGTTGGCGAAATTATATCAAATATTTCGGTTTTTTTTGCGTTTTATGGGATGCGATTTATTTGTATTAAAAACGGTTTAAATTCACACAAATATGTAACAAACACGGTGAAACACGGCATTTTAGACGACATTAATTGATCGACTTTTTGGTTTGTTTAGTTGAAATACTTTCTTCGTCTTTGGAAGGGTCTAGACGCCCCTCAAGTCAGACCTTTTATAACTCTGCCATCCGGAAAGTCTAAAACTTGCCTGAACAGTTATAAGAATAAATCCAGATTGACACAGTGAATTTGTAATTAGATTTGTTCAAGTAACTGAGGAACGCTTACTTTCATGCAAACACTAATTTAGAATGTGGGGAAAAGCGTTTTGTCAACTGGAAGGGAGCCTGTTTAACATGGGGGAGAGAACAAAGAGATTTTTTGATAAGCTAATCGAGTACTGCAAACACTTGAAGGCGGTAAACTTTTCGAATAAAGTTGTTTGCATTTTTATTTGCCAACGCAGGGTAGGGTTTAATATTTTCTACTACCAAAACTGTTAGGTTTGGACAATGTCCACTATTTACCATTTGACTTGGATGCGTAATTCTTCAACACCGCATCAATAGTCGTTAACTGTCCGGGGTCCATCATGCAACCATACATTATGCATTCACCAGCAAATTAATTTTAGTAGATAGGCACGGAACTTTATTTTCCATTTTCCATTAAATCAGCCATTAACCCGAGCAGTTCGCTTTGCTTGAAAGGCCCTTTCGACCAGTTTAAAAAGGAATATTAATCGACATTTAAATGAAGTTATTTATCAAAGGGCGCAGGCTGCCCCAGTGAAACAAATGGCTGAGGGCTGAGGCTGGGTAGCCTCAAACACTCCCCATTTCTCCAAATATGGTTTCTTACACCCTCTGTTAAAGGGCGAAGATTTCTGAGGAAAAGCCATATAATTTCTTCTAAAGTATTTATATCATACGATTTTTGTTTGCAGTTTTACTGAATGAAAATTTGTGTTTTCTTTTTCAGTTTAGATTGAGATTTTGTAGAAATTGGGGCAGTTTGAGTCATTTGAGTTTTCTCTTCAATTGTTTAACAGATAGCTTGTGAATTTTCCTGTCAAAAATTGAAAATTAACGAAAAAACCCGCTTAAAACGGCACAAAATGTTCAATCATTTCATTCTCGTTGGATCCGGACTTCGACGGATTGTGAGTGACTTGATATTTGAATTTTACGTGCGTATTTTTTAAACCCGATTGATCCTTTTCTATCTAAAAAGTCCCCTATTGGGTAAATACAAGCTGCTTTATGATGCGAAAGATATCGTCCGTGAGAACCGCTCAGAAACCGCTTAAAATGGGTCAAACTTATCGATTATTTGTGATTCTAAGCTTCTAGAGTGTATTTCTGTGAGTTCGGTGCATTCTCGCTTTCTTAATGAATGATGTAGATTTCGACGAATTTTGAATTCTGTGGTATTTTTTGAGAATACCGACTTTATGAAATTTTTAGTCAAAAATGAAAATTTCACATGCGTGTTTTTTGAGCTCAATGGGTTTTTTACGACCTAAAAAGTTTTCCAGCAGGAAAATATAAAGTGATTGGGATTATAATACGAAAGATATTGACCGTCAGAATAAAACCGCTCAGAAACCACTTGAAATGGGCTAAAAAATATTGATGATTTCCGATCTTAAGCTTTTCGGGGATTTTCCAGTGACTTCCATGCATTCATCACTGTCTTT